CCATGCCAGGCTGTGCCATGCCATGCTGTGCCATGCTGTGCCATGCCGTGCCATGATGTGCTGTGTTCTGCCATGTTGTCCCGTGTTGCCCCATGCTGTGCCATGCTGTGCTGTGCCATGCCATGTTGTGCCATGTTGTGTTGTACCACACCGTGCTTTGTCATCTTGTGCCATGTCGTGTTGTGCCATGCTGTGCCATGTTGTGCCGTGCCCCACCATGCTCTTCTGTGTTGTGCCACGTTGTGGTGTATTTTACAAAGTTGTGCCTTGTTGTGTTTTGCCATGTCGTGCCATGTTGTGCCGTGTTGTGGCGTGTTGTGCCGTGCTATGCTGTGTTGTGCCATGTGGTGCCATGTGGTGCCATGTGGTGCCATGCCACACCATGCAGCAGTGCCCCATGCCCTCAGCCCTGTCCCCTCTCTTAGGGCACAGGCGAGCACTGCTACTACCAGGGCCGGGTTCGGGGGTGGCCCCGCTCCTTCGCAGCACTCTCCAGCTGCCGGGGGCTGCAGTGAGTACCGACCCCAACCCTGGGTCAGAGCTGTGCTCGCAGAGCAGGGCTGTGGACAGAACCTCTCGGGGCTTCCCTTGCAGCGGGGTCTTCTCAGATGGACGGGATATATTTCTGATTGAGCCCCAAGCAGGCACCGAGCACGTGGAGGTGAGTGGGGACCTCCACCCTGCCTCAGTTTAAGGGGGACGTGGCCCTGGGGACACGGGGACACGGGTCTTGGTGCTCTCTCTGCAATAGGGTGTTCAGCCACATCTCATCCAGCGCACCCCAAGCTGTGCCTTGCCAGGTGAGCACCGTGCTTTGGCACTGCCTGGCACCCCCAGTGTGCCCAGTGCCCCAGTCCCACTGTCCCCATTCCCCGCAGGCTGCATGCTGGGTGCCGTGGGGCAATCTGGCTCAGGCAGCTCGGCCAGGCTGCGGCGGCAGCGGAGGCAGGTGAGTGCTGGGAACATGGGTAGGACATGGGCATGGGGCTGGGGGCAGGGGTACAGGGCTGGAGACATGGGCACAGGGTTGGGGACAAAGGTGTGGATTAAGGGAACAGGGACAAGAACACAGGGTTGGGGACAGGGATACGGTGCTGGGGACAAGAGCAAGAGGCTGGGGATAGGGATATCAGGCTGGGGAAAGGGATACAGGCCTGGGGACAGGGATATAGTGTTGGGGACAAGGTCATGGGGTTGGGTACAGAGGATGTGGGACTGGAGACAGGGGAATGGGGATGGCAACAGCAGCATGGATTTGGAGACATGAGGCTGGGAACAGGAGCACGATTTGGGGCTCGCAACCATGAAACAGGGCCAGAAACTCCCAAACCCCACTCCTTGCCCCACACATCCCCATGGGCACTGCCCACCTCCTTCCCCGCCCGCAGGTGCGTCGGGCGCAGCACACAGTGCACAGTGAGACCAAGTACATCGAGCTGGCCGTGGTGAACGACCATCAGCTGGTAGGGACGTGGGGCAGAGGGATGGCAATGGGGCGGCCGCCCACCCCCCGCTCCCCAAAGTTCCTACAGCTCCGCAGATCCGTGGTGCTCACCAGCAACTTCGCCAAGTCTGTGGTCAACCTGGCTGACATGGTGAGCGTGGGTCCATCCATGGGGTGGGGATTGCGGGCCCATCTGTAGGGTGCTGAGCATGGTGCTGCCTGTGGTGCTGCTCCCATGGCGTGTTGTGCCCCATGGCCACCCCCACTGTGCACTTTGCCCCGTTGTGCCCCATGGCACACTCAGCCCATCGTCATCCTCATGACACCCGGTGCCCCATTGCCATCCCCACTGTGCGTCGTGCCCCATTGTACCCCATCATGCCCCACTGCCATCCCCCTGGCACGCTGTGCCCCATTGCACCCCATGGTCGTGCTATTGCAGATCTACAAGGAGCAGCTCAACACCCGCATCGTGCTGGTGGCCATGGAGACGTGGGCTGCAGGGGACCGCATCCGCATGGAGGAGGACTCGATGGGGACACTCAACGAGTTCATGCGGCACCGGCGCGAGGAGCACAGCGACGCCATCCACCTCTTCTCGTGAGCATGGGGTCAGGAGCCCAGCCCATGGCCACATGCCCACGTCCCCATTTGCCCCATCCCTTGTAGGGGACGCACCTTCCAGAGCAGCCGCAGCGGTACCGCCTTCGTTGGGGGTATCTGCTCAGCTGGGCGCGCTGGTGGGGTCAACGAGGTGGGTGATGTGGGTGCAGAATGAATGGTGGGCACGGGACCCCATGGTGACAACGTTGTCCCCACTGGAGATCCCATGATGACCGTGTTGCCCCCATTGCAGTATGGCAACATGGCGGCCATGGCGGTGACACTGGCGCAGACGTTGGGGCAGAATGTGGGCATGATGTGGAACAAGCACCGCGCATCAGCAGGTAGCAATGGGGACAGGGGTGGCACCCGTGGGGACAATGTCCCCTCCCTGGCACCGCAGTGCTCTGCCATCCCATAGGGGACTGCCGCTGCCCTGATGCTTGGCTGGGCTGCATCATGGAGGACACGGGGTGAGCGCTGTCCCCACGTGGCACACGACCACCCCAGGAGGTGCCACCCATGGGGTGCTCCCGCAGTGGGGTGGTGGAGGGCACAGTGGGGTCATTGGGAGCACAGGGGGGCCATGTGTGCACAGAGGGGTCATTGGGAGCACTGTGGGATCAGTGGGGTCATTGGGGCACAGCTGGACGGTGGGGGGCACATTGGGGTCATTGGGGCACAGCTGGATGGCGGGGGGGACAGCGGGGTCAGTGGGGCACAGTGAGGCTGTGGTGGCACAGCAGGGTTGTAGGGGCACAGTGAGGACACTGGGGGAATAGTGGTGTCACTGGGGAACAGCAGGGCTGTGGGAATACAGCGGGGTCAATGGGGGCACAAGGGGGGTCACTGGGGTACAGGCTGAGCGCTGCCCCCACGTGGCACATGGCCACTCCTGGAGGTGCCACCCGTGGGGCGATGGCAGCCACCCGGTGTCACCACGTCCCCCCGTAGGTACTACCTCCCACGGAAGTTCTCCCGCTGCAGCATTGATGAGTACAACCAATTCCTGCAGGACGGCGGTGGCAGCTGCCTCTTCAACAAACCCCTCAAGGTAAATGGGGCATCAGTGGGGCGGGGGCTCCCTAGGGCATCAGCAGTCCAATGTGCATCAATGGGGTGGGGAGTCCCTGGGGCATCAATGAGTCCAATGTGCATCAATGGGGTGGGGAGTCAGTCCCTGGGGCATCAATGAGTCCAATGTGCATCAATGGGGTGGGGGGTCCCTGGGGGGTCAGTGGGGCCAACAGACATAAATGAGGTGAAGGAGTCTCTGGACCATCGGTGAGGCCGACGTATCAGTGGGATGGGGATTCTCCGAGGCATCAGGGGGCCAACAAGCATCAATGGGGTGGGGAGTCCCCGGGGCATCGATGGGGCCAACGGGCACCAATGAGGTGAGAAATCCCTTGGGGTCACAGTTGGGTTGGGAGGGACAACCTCACAGCCCTTCCCCACAGCTCCTGGACCCACCAGAGTGCGGCAATGGGTTTGTGGAGGCAGGAGAGGAATGCGACTGTGGATCGCAGACGGTGAGTGGGATCAGGGCCATGGGGGGGCAGCTATGGGGCCGGGGTGGGGCTGAGCACCGTGCCGCCCCACAGGAGTGTGCCAGGAGCGGAGGGAACTGCTGCAAGAAGTGCACGCTGACACACGACGCCATGTGCAGCGACGGGCTGTGCTGTAAGGGATGCAAGGTGCAATGGGGCACGGTGTGGGGCACTGGGAGGTTTGTGGGGTCAGGTCCTGATGTGGGATTTGTCCCCCAGTATGAACCACGTGGTGTGTCCTGCCGGGAGGCGGTGAATGAGTGTGACATCCCTGAGACCTGCACTGGGGACTCCAGCCAAGTGAGAGGGGTCACTGGGCACTGTGAGGACATGGGGGCACAGTGCAGTCACTGGGTGTGCAGTGGGGCTTTGGGAGTCACAGTGGGGTCACTGGGGCACGGTAGGGCCATGGGGGATGTAGTGGGGTCACTGGGAACACAGAGGGGCCACTGGAGGCTCAGTGTGACTGTGGTGGTACTGTGGGGTCATAGGGGCACAACAGAGTCGCAGTAGGACCATGGGGGCACAAAAGGGTCACTGGGGTACAGCGGGGTCCCAAGTGTCCTCTCCTGCCCCCAGTGTCCCCCCAACCTCCACAAACTGGACGGGTACTTCTGTGATAATGAGCAGGTGAGTGGCACCATAGGTATGGCACATCCATGGGATCGCAGCGCCCGTGGGTGCCATGCTCCCGTGGTTGCCAACCCTATAACCCTATAACTGCTTCCGTGGGTACCAACCATCACCCCGTTCTCAATCCCACGGGTGCCACCACGACCCTACCCCTGCTTCCATGGGTGCCACCAGGACTCTATAACCACTCCCATGGGCACCAACCATGACCCTGTTCCTATTCCCATGGGTGCCGCCATGGCCTTATAACCACTCCCATGGGCGCCAAGTGTGACCCTATTCTCACTCCCATGGGTGCTACTGTGACCCTATAACCACTCTCAAGGGTGCCGCCGTGACTCTGTAACCACTCTCATGGATACCAGCCATGACCCTACAACTGCTTCCATGGGTACCAACCATGACCCTGTTCCTATTCCCATGGGTGCCACCACAGCCTTATAACCACTCCCATGGGCGCCAAGTGTGACCCTATCCTCACTCCCATTGCTGCCACCATGACCCTACAGCCATTCTCAAGGGTGCCACCACGACTCTATAACCATTCCCATGGCTACCAGCCATGACCCTATAACTACTTCCACGAGTACCAGCCATGACCCTGTTCCCACTCCCCTGGGTGCCACCATGACCCTATCATCACTCCCCTGGGTGCCAATCATGACCCTATAACCGCTCCCAGGGCCGCTGCTACGGCGGGCGCTGTAAAACCCGGGACCGGCAGTGCAACGCGTTGTGGGGCCGCGGTGAGTGCCCAGACCCCACTCCCACATCCCCGCGTTGGGGACAGCAGGTGACGCCGCTCGCTGCAGGCTCTGCGGAGCGCTTCTGCTATGAGAAGCTCAACGTGGAGGGCACCGAGAGGGGCAACTGCGGGCGCGAGGGCGCGGGGTGGACGCAGTGCAACAAGCAGTGAGTGGCCCCGCCGAGCGCCCCGCGTCCCCTCCCGCTGTCACGCGGTGTCACCGCCCCGCTGCTGGCAGGGATGTGCTGTGCGGGTTCCTGCTGTGCGCCAACATCTCGGGGACGCCGCGGCTGGGCGAGCTGAGCGGGGAGGTGGCCACCACCACTTTCTTCCATCAGAACCGCTACGTGGACTGCAGGTGGGCGCCGCCGCCCCGGGGACGGGGACACGGGGTCACCCCTATGGGGATGTGGGAACAGGAGGGACCCCACGTGAACCCGCTGGGGACAAGGGCATGGTGGCGTGCTTGTGCCACCTCCTTAGGGATGGGGACGTGAGCACGGTGATGTCCTGGGTCACGCCTTGGGGACAAGGGTGTGGACACGTTGGGGGATAAGGACAGCGGGGTCCCACTGGGGACAGGGAGAAGGTGGCAGCGACGTCCCTGTGTTCTCCCCTGGGGGACATGGACATGGTTGGGTCCTTGCATCACCCTCTTGGGGAATGGACTCAGTGGCGTCCCTGTGTCATTGGGGTGGAGATGTGGTGGAGCCCCTGTGTCACAGCCCTAGGGACGTGGACATGGGAAGGTCCTTCTGTCCCTGTGTCATCTTCTTGGCATGTCACTCCATGGGAGATGGGACAAGGACATGGCAGGGTCCCTGCGGGATGGGGACAATGCACTCAGTGTGGTTCCTGTGTCACTCCTTTGCGGACATGGACGCAGTGGGGTCTGTGTGGCACCCCTTGGGGACGGGGACAGGGGACATGGACACAGCGGGTTCCCTTTGTCACCCCCTCGGTGTGTCACCACCCTGAGCATTGGGACATGGACCCGGTTGTGTCCCCACGTCACCCCACTGGATATGAGGATGTGGCGGTGTCCCCTTGCCACCCCTTTGGGGACAGAGACATGGACCTGGTGGCATCCCCACATCACCCCACTGCCACCTTGCAGGGGTGGCCACGTGCAGCTGGCGGATGGCTCAGAGCTGAGCTATGTGGAGGACGGCACGCCGTGCGGCCCTGCCATGCTGTGCCTCGACCACAAATGCCTTCCGGTCACCGCCTTCAATTTCAGCTCCTGCCCCGGCAGCGGGGATGGGAAGATCTGCTTTGAGCATGGGGTAAGGCGTAGGGACAGGGCTGGGAGGCACGGGGTGACGACAGAGGGTGGCATCAAGGGGTGACGCCGCCCCCTCATAGGTGTGCAGCAATGAGGGGAAGTGCATCTGTCAGCCCGAGTGGACGGGGAAGGACTGCAGCGTCTACGACCCCATTCCTGAACCCAAACCCACGGGGGAGACGGAGCGCTACAAGGGTCTGCTGGGGGCGCGTGGTGCTGTCCCTGCTCCCCGTGGTGCCTCATGGCCGTGTCAGCTCTGACGCACATTCCTGTCCTCCTGTCCCAGGTCCCAGTGGCACCAACATCATCATTGGGTCCATAGCGGGAGCCGTGCTGGTGGCTGCCATCGTCCTTGGTGGCACGGGATGGGGATTCAAGTAAGCGGGGTCATCGGAATGCTCGTTCCCCCGGTCCCATTTGTCCCCTTGTCTCCATGTCCCGTTGTCCCACGGGGTCACTGGGATGCTCATTCCCCTGCTCCCATTTGTCCCCCTCATTACCGTGTCTCCTTGCCCCCCGGGCTCATTGGGACGTTACTTGCCCAGTCCCATTTGTCCCCATTGTCCCCTTGGTCCCTTGTCCCCTGTGGTCATGGAGATGCCATTCCCCCGATCCGACTTGTCCCCTTGACCCCATGTCCCCACATCCCTTGTCCCCTGGGGTCATCGGGACGCTCATTCCCCAGTCCCCATTGTCCTTCTTACTCCTTTGTCCCATGAGATCATGGGGATCCTCACCGCCTTGCTCCTACTTGTCCTCCTTGTCCCCTGGGGGTCAAGGGGCTCAGAGGGACACCGGGGACACTGACACCGCCGTCCTCTCCCCCCTGTCCCCAGGAACATCCGCCGCGGAAGGTACGACCCGGCGCAGCAGGGAGTGTAACCCCCCACCCCGTCGTCTCCTCGTCACCATCACCGTCCGGCGGCAGCGGTGACCCCCCCGGGCCGGAACCGCCGCCCGTCTGTCCGTGTCACTGTCTGTCCGGCTGCCCCCGTGCTGTCTCCATCTCTGTGCCCACCCCAAAGAGCCCAGTGGGGCGGGGGGGGCTCTTTGGGGCTTGGTGTCCCCCGTGTCCCCCCATCCCATACCTCGTGTCACCCCCCTGCACTAAAGCGCTCCTCACTTCTGTGTTGCAGGTCCGGGGGGGGCCTGAGCAGGTCCACCCGAGGAGGGAGGAGAGCACGGGGGGATCCCCCCGACCCCACTGCACCGCCACGAATGTCCGGAACCCCTGGGCCCTCTGGGGTTGGGGTCACTGCACCGCCATGAATGTACCCGGGGGGGCCACAACAGGACCCCCAACCCCACATGGCCCTGGGGAGGGGGGGGGGGAAGGGTCAGAACCCTCCCTCACTCCATGTCAACATCTTCCAGCTCTGGGGGCTGCACCCCCTGTATCAGGCCAGTATGCCCCAGTACCCCCCAGTACCAGGCCAGTTGTCCCCTCCGTGCCCCCAGAGCAGGGCCTGGAGGCCATCCCTCCTCCCCCCCATCTCGCATCCCCACCAGTGGGGTCCCACACCCACGGGTGCCAGGCTCTGGGTCAAGGACATCCCCCATCCATCATCTCCCCCATCCCAAAAGGTGCACCCCAAAATGGGGACCCAACGGCATCAGGGCCACCCTATGGGGCTGGGGGGCAGGGAGAGCCCAGGGGAGTGTCACCCCATGTCCCCTTGTTCCCTGGTCCTTTGTCCCTTGGGGTCACTGGGATGCTCATTCCCCTGGTCCCATTTGTCCCCCTTGTTCCCCTGGTCCCTTGTCCCTTGGGGTCATTAGGATGCTCATTCTTCTGCCCCCCTGGTCCCCTTGGCACTTCACATGTCCCATGTATCACCCTCAGGACAAGGGGGTGGCACGTGTCATCCCTGTCCCCGCGGCCCCACATCACCCCATGCCATCCATCCCACACCACCACGGAGCACTTAGGGCCCACCGCAGCCCCACGATGACACACAGCACAGTGGGGACCCCACACCCACGGAGGGGTGGCAGTGTCCCCCCCATATGTGTCTCCTGCTATGGGGTCAGCAGTGGGACAGGAGGTGCCCCCAGGGCAGCCTACATGGTGTGACCACGAGTGGCAGCCCCAGGACCATAGGGTGGCAGCAGGATGGGATGTCCCCAAACTCAGCTGTAACCGTGTCCCCATATGACACAGCAGCCCCGTGGCCATGGGCTGTGGGGAGCTGGGCAGCACAGAGAGGTGTGTGGGGGTCCAATCCCCCGCCCCTCAATCTGTCACCATGATGTCCCCACAGCTGCAGTGCCTGCGAGAGGACACCGCCGTCCCATGGGAGCCCTGTGTCCCTGTCCCAACACTCGTCACCGGTTTTGGGGACGTGAACCTATATATAAATATATATATAAATATAAATATTTTTTTTTCTTAATGATTTTAATGCTGTACGGCCCCGCAGTGCCACCAGGACTGGGGGATGGCCCAGGGACGGGGTGAGCTGACCCCAGGGCCCCGCAGCACACCTCACCTCCTGCTCGCGTGCCTGCTTCACCCGTGCTGGGGGTCACCCGGACCCCACAACGCCTCCTGCAACGTCACAGATTTATTTACAATAAAGAATTGGAAAATCAGTGGGAAAATTCTGCCTTTCTGCGGGGCTGGGTGAGCAGCACGAGGCTGGGCAGAGCTGCACGCTCACATCCGACGTATCCTCACACATCCGGGGCCAGACAGAACTCACTCCTCTGGTCCCTGTGTCCCCCTGGTCCTGTGGTCCCTTGTCCCATAGGGTCACTGGGATGCTCTCTGCCCTGGTTCCACTTGTCCCCCTCACCCTCTGGTGTCACTGGGATGCTCAATGCCATGGTCCTACTTGTTTCCCTTATCCCCTGCTCCTCCGTCCTGTGGGAACACATGGATGCTCCTTCCCCTTGTCCACACGTCCCCATGTCCCATGGGGTCACTGATATGCTCATTCCCCTGGTCCCATTTGTCCCTCTTGTCTTTGTGTCCCATTTGTCCCCTGGTCCCCTGCTCCTTGGGGACATCACTGGGATACTTGTTCCTCTGGTCCCATTTATCTCCTCATCCTCTTGTCCCTTGGGGTCATGTGGATGCTTATTCCCCTGATCCCATTTATCTCTCTTGTCCTCTTGTCCTCGTTCCCCGGTTCCCTGACCCATGGGGTCATTGGGATGCTCGTTCCTCTGGTCCCATTTCTCCCTGTTGTCCTCTTGTCTGCTGGTTCCCTGTCCCATGGGGTCACTGAGATGCTCCTTCCACTGGTCCCATCTGTCCCTCTTGACTTTGTGCCCCATTTGCTCCCTGGTCCCCCATCCCTTGGGGTCATGTGGGTGCTTATTCCCCTGATCTCACTCATCTCCCTCGTCCCCTGGTTCCCTGTCCCACAGGGCCATCGGGACGCTCGTTCCTCCGGTCCCATTTATCCCTGTTGTCCCCTTGTCCCCTGGTAACGTCCCACGGGGTCACTGAGATGCTCCTTCCACTGGTCCCATTCATCCCCTTTGTCCTCCTGTCCCCTGCTCCCCTGCCCCAAGGCACACTGGGATGCCCGTTCTGGCCGTACTCCCAGGTCCATACGGAGCTCCTCAGCCCGGTTCGACTCTCCCACGCCGCCGTTCTCCCCTCGCAGCGCTCTGCTCACCGCATCAGCCACCAGAGGGCTCCCCCTGCCCGCTCCTCGCACCGACGGCCGGCGCAGGAGATGCGCCGCCGGGCCACGCCGGCTCTTCGCCCCCCAGCCTGGAGGCTGAAGGCACAACGGGGCTGCAGAACGCTCCCATCTTTGGGGTCCTCTGGAAGGGCGCAGCTTTGTTCCCAGCCACAACAGAGGCGCGGCTCATTGGAGCTTTTTGGGGCCGCTGTCTGTGCGCCGCAGCACCGAGCGCATCAGAAATAATGTGGAAGCACAAGCAGTGAACGCTGAGTCCTTTGAGGCCTTTGGGCTCAGGAGGGCATGGAAACGGCGTTGGGTTCCCAGCCCACCCGAGGTCCTTCCCGGAGCCACGCGTCCTCCTGGAACACAGCAAAAAATCAGTGATTTATTTACCATCTTTTTGCCTGAGGGCAGCAGCGAGGCACTGAGCTGCAGGTGCTGCCCATCACAGAGCCCACGAGGAGGAAAAAAGACCCACTGCTCATCGGCAGACCCAACAGAACAGATCTCCTGCAGCCTCCTCTGTGCCATTACATAAAGGGGAGCCGCTCAAACCTGCAGTCCCTTGGCTCCTTCAGCTGCAGGAGCTGATGGTGGACCATCTGGCTGTGATTTGTCGGCGATAATCTAATGAGGCAGACCTCGTTTTTAGGGTGCACACAAGGAAGAACGTCCTCCTGACTCCCCAGGAGCACAGGGTGCCACGTGAGCAGCAGCTTGCAGGAGCAGAGGGAGGCAATGGCTTTTCAGCTCTCCTATCTGAAAGAGAGCAGAGAAGTTTGGGTCAGAGGGAGACATCAGATGGTCGGGAGCCAACACTGCCATGTGGGCTGGAATGGGAGGATGCCTTCCTGCAGGGAGCCGTGCTTGGGGGATTAAGGAAAAGGGGAGAGAAAGCAAGAGCCCACGTGCTCTGGGTGCTTCACATCTGAGAGAGGCTGCTGGGCTGCACCCAGGGTGGGAGAATGAGGTCTACAGAGGGGACAGCAAGGGCTCAGCCTCAGCCCTGGCCCCTCACCCTCATCCCATTCTGCTTCCTCCCTGAGTTGACAAATGAAAGCTGGTATTTGGCACCTGCTGCCGAGGTTCTGAGAGCGAGGCCACAGCTGGAGGCACAGAACACAGCCGTGCGCGGACAGGAGCAGCTCGGGGGAGCAGTGAGCATCTCCAAGCAGCCGTGCTGCAGCCGTGGGAAGGAGCAGCTCCGCCAGCAGGCAGCGACCAGGCCCTGACCCACTGCTGGCCTTGCTGGGAAATGGGACACACAGCCGCTGCAGGCGATGGGGCATCGCGTGTCGGAGCGCTGCTGCAGCAGGAAACGCTCAGACAAGGAGAAAGGAAGGGACACAGCCAGCTCAGCACAGCTGGAAATGCGATGGGAGGCTCCGGCGCTGCTCCTGGCTGCACTGGGGGTGCAAACGCCCTGGGGGCCATGGGGGAAACCCAGTTCCCAGCGATGCAAGAAATCTCCCACCGCCCTTTCGGAAGCGCTCCCCTGGCTGGGATGCTGCCTTGGAGGTCTTTTCCAGCTCAGAGATCCCATCACTCCACAGGCCAGCCTTGCTGCTGCTCTTTCCCTCGCAGTGCTGAGTTCACGTTGCTGCTGGGGAGCTTTGACCCCTGCGGAGCTGAGGCCATCACAGGCACCACGGCAGCAGCGACCCCAAGGCGGGTGTCAAACCCCCCGCAGCTCCCACTGCCCTGCAGGAGGTGGGGATCAGAGCCTGCTGGGCAAAGCAGCAGCTCAGCGTCCTGAGCACATCTCCCAGATTTCTCTGAAGGATTTCAAAGCAATGACAAAACGGCAATTTGTTAAATCAGCTCTGAAGGCTGCGGAGCTCCTGAAGAACTCCTGGAATGTCTGCAGCGCTGTGGCACTCGGGGTCAGAGCAGTTTATGTAACCCCCGTCCTCTCGTGCTGCCACCAGCAGTGCTGGGATCTCCTTTCGCTGTCAGGCTTTTCTCCTCCCGCATCGGATACGAAGAAGATGCACACAGATAAGAAATGCCAAGAAATCCCAACAATACAGAGGATCACAGCTTCCCTTATGGGGGGGGAAATAAAAAAGAAAGGAACCCATCTGTTATATAACCTCACTGCAGCTCAGCAGTGAGGTGATGGGAAACCGCATCTCACGGAGACTCACTGAACCAAACGGCACCTCACACTGCCGCCAGCCCAGCAGCGCACAGCTTCCCTTCCCTGGGGCAATGGGGAAACGACATCCAGGGGAAATATTCACACAGGGACAGCGTGTTATTATGGATGAAGGAAACTTGACGGCATTTTGCAGCTTCTTCAGCACGTTCTGGGTGAGCAGTGCATACAGCCTGCCCTCTGCTCAGAACCCTGCACGTTTATGGGGAGCTGGGTATCGCTATGCCTGCACAGCAGCAGCCTGCCCTGCAGCACTGAGGATTTCCCCGAGCTGAACGGCGCCGGTGAATGGCATTCATGCTTTGTGCACAGCACCCCTCCCAACCTCCCTCCCTGCATTTCCTTGAATAAACTCCTTTTCTGTTGGATACAATCACGTGTCTGCTCTTGCTTTAGACGTTTCTTACCTCCTGGCCACACATCTCCCCATGTTGCCCGCGGCAGGACAGCTCTGCAGCTGTTCTGCTGGGTTTGGAGCTGCTTCTCTTCTCTGCAGCTGCGCTGCAAAGTCCTCACAAGCAGATTTTCCCTCTGGTTTTCAGCAGGAGGATTTGTGGCCACCTCGGCTCGGTGATAACAGGAGTGTGCCGAGCTTCCCTTCCAGTGCAAGGCAAGAGGGCTGAAAAGAGATGCTAACGCAGAGCAAGAATGTCTGCAGCACGAAGCACATTTGCTCTGAAAGCTGAACGCTGCATGCAGTGCACAGCACGGGTTCCCCTCTCCCAAACCTGTGTATGGACGACCCCATGTGCTGACCCTGCATGCTGACCACATCCCAGCTCCGAGCCCACCAACCTTCAGCTCACAGCTGATGTCATCACCCCGACTCTTCAGCAGCTCCTGCAAAGAGCTGTTGAGATGTGAGCAAGTTTGCTACCAAATATGGATGACAGATGAAGCGCAGCTGCTGATCCGCGCTCTGCGTGTGAGACAAAGGGCTCAGGGTGGCTCTTAGCTCAGCGAGGCTCTTTGGCTGCTAGGGCACCCTACATTCCTGGCAGCAGCTCAGCGACCACAGGGCCCTCAATTAGCGCCGGAGCTGATTAACAACACGCCGCTTTGCTGATCAGGCTGAAGGTTTGGGTGCCCTCCCTCATCTTTCAGGCTGGCACTCAGCAGCGCTGCTCTGAGCTGTGGCTGTGGGGCTTTGTGCTCTGCCCAGGGCAAAAGGAATGCTCAGACAGAAAGGAGCTCACTGGAGTCGCCGCACAGCTTTAAACGAGGGCCAGATAAAAGGGCGGCAGTCGGCAGGCTGCAGGACCTTTGTGTGTGCAGAGCTGAGACACATCGCTGACACGAGGCCTCGTTGGTCGCAGACATGGGAAGAGATTTCCCCCTACAGACCCCCCTCCTGGCACGGCACAGCAGCACCCCAACACCCACAGCACCCTGCAGAAGGCAGAGCGCTGCTTTCCCAGCAGGGAGGAACCCATCTGCTCACACTGCTCTGATAGAGACGAACTGAGCGGCTGCTGCAGAAGGTGGGTTACATCCTGCTCCTCCACCAACAGCCCAGCTCACAAAGCGATCCTTTGTGACAGCAAAACAGACGGGCATTCAGCTGCGACGTGCAAAGGCAGCTGGCCCCGTCTGCTCTGCTCGGGGCAGCTGAGGCCGCACGCTTCGCCGCGCCGCTCCTCCACATGCGCCCATGCAGATCCCGGGTGGTCGGGAGGAGCTCCTCGAGGGCTCACTCTCCACATTCCTCCCTTTCGACGCCGTTGGAAAGAGGCTCTTTGTTATGCTGAGGTCAAACAGGTTGAAACCCCAACCTCTGCACCACCCCCCATCCCCGCAGCACTGCAAAAACGCCGCCTCAGCCTGCTTTTCTGAACTGCATTTAATAGACAAAACCAGAGGTTAACAAACTCAAGGTACGTTCATTTTCTTTTTTCTTTTCTTTTTTTTTTTTTTTGGTCCAAGATCTGTTCTGAGCGTTTATTTCAGGATGGCCTGCATCAAGCCAGAGCAAGGAGCATTTTCAAGTAATGCATTATCATTTCTTCAGGAGAAAGGAGCCAAACCCGAAGCCTTGAAACCAACTGCAGCCACAGACCCCAGCAGAGGGCTGCCACACACCTCCCCTGCAAGGAGCGCCTCGTCTCAAAGCAGGGGCGCACTGCTTGCACCGCTGGAACTGCCGGGGAACGGAGCACACGGAGCAAAGTCCCAAAGCGTGACACAGAGCAACAGAAAGCAGGCATTTCTCAGCGTCCCTCAGATGTGAATGCTCATCGTGGCCAAAAAGACACTGCCAGGGGCAGTAAATACTGCATTCCCCCCCCCCCCCCCCTTTTTTTTTTCTAATTATAAATTCAAGTTGAATGCCAAAACTGCAGAATGCCGCGGATCTGACCGGCCTCTCGAGCAGAAATGAAGCGGTGCATTTATTGCTCCGTCTGAACTCGGCCCCTCGGACGTGACAGGAGGAAGAGGGGTCAGGGATAAGGCATTGTTGTTTATAGTCAGAAGGGTTTTGTAAAGACCTGTACACACAGCGTGTGTGCGTGGGGCCGGGGGAGCAGGGCTGCCACAGAGCAGAGTGACCACGAGTCCATCCAAGCACATTGCTTTGGAAACACAGCAATCTGCCCCAAAAGGGACTGGAACAACTGGGAGCCCCGGGGAGCGGGGTGTTATGCAACGAGAGAGCACAGAAACATCTTCAATATGTAAATATGAGTTATGAGGCGTTTTCCATAGGATGAAAACACACAGTGAGGGACCAGGGGACATAAGGACAAAGGGGACACGGGGAATGGGCATCTCAAACAGCCCGTGGGACCAGGGGACATGGGAACAAATGGGACCAGGGGAATGAAAACCCCCATGACCTTAAGGGACAGGAAGACAAATGGAGACAAGGAAGACAAATGGGATCGGGGGAACAAGTATCCCAGTGACCACAGGGGACAAGGGACCAGACGACATGAAGGACAAAAGGGACACGGGGAACGAGTGTCCCCATGACCTTGGGACAGCAATCAGGAGACAAGGGGACATGGAGACAAGGGGAATGAGTGTCCCCAAGACTTCATAGAACAGGGGACAAGGGACAGAGGGCAAGGAGGACTAAAGAGAACACAGGAATGAGCATCGCAGCGACCCCAAGAGACAAACAGACCCAGGGAACAAGGGAACATGGGGACAAGGGGGGCAAATGGGACCAGAAGAACGAATATCCCCATGATCTCATGGGACAGGGGACATGGGACAAGGAAGACAAACAGCACCAGGGGAACAAGCATCTCAATGACCCCATGGGATAAGGGGGACAAACGGGATAAGGGGAAGGAGTATCTCCATGACCTCACAGGACAGGGACAAGGGCAGAAGGGGCACGGGGCGAGGACAAAAGAGAGCGAAGGAACGAGCATCCCAACGACCTCAGGGGACAAAGAGGACCAGGGACAAGGGGGACAAAAGGGACCAGGGGAATGAGTGTCCCAGTGACCCCAGGGGACAAGGGACACAGGGACATCTGGGTGAGACAGGCAGGTGGTGGCCCCCATATAGGCAGCTATGGGACGTTTGGAGCAGGGTGTTACGTAACGAGAGACCTCAGAAACCTCTTAAATATGCAAATATGTGGAATTACAAGTCATTTTCCACGGGACAAAGAAACGTAGCACATAACAGCCACAGCGTGACACTTCCATTTGTAGGTAGCACATCATTTTTATAGAAGGTACAGTCAGGAGCACCATCAGCAGACGTTTCTGACCCCCCCCCTGCTCTAAGGGAGCAGATCTGGCTCCCTGGTGCTGTGTGTTCAAGGCACTTCTCAAATGCAGCATAGAAAGTTCTGACACTGAAAACAAACAGAAAACGACGACGAACCACAGTAATAAAAGGAGCAAAATGCTGACAGCTACCTACAGTTTTCTCCTTTCGTATAAAAAAGGGTAACTTCAGAGATCCAGTGTACAAATACAAAAATTGTGCATAATAAATGTACGATAATACTGTACATACAGCGTAAACCCTTCAATGAGAATGATTTAAATATACCTATTTGTCTCCTGGCTTGGAAGGCAGAAGAATAAAGTTGTACAGTCCTACAGTGCGCATATAAACACTTTCTTAGAGCTGGAATCGCTAGCCAACAGCATCCCTGAAAATAAGCAGAACCAAATATTTACTTAATGGAAGCCATTACTCAACGGGTTGCTGGTTGTGAGAAAAAGACAACATATAAACTCAGCCAAGGTCAAATCCAGACAGAGTTCTTCCCGTCCCCCGATTTGCTGCTGGCGCTGCTTTTGTTGGAGCCTGCTTTGGACTTCTTCTCTCTGGAGCTGCTGCTGGGGTTGTTTTGGTTGTTGTACGCCTGGATGGCCATGTCCAGGCGTTCCTGAGCCACTTTGATTTCCCTCTGCAGGTTTTCCAGGTCGGCGGGGATGTTCTCCTCGTTGCTGCCGTACTGCTGCTCCTGGGCAATGTTGGCTTTGTTCTGCCTGTAGGCCATCTTGGCGTTGGACAGCTCGGTGTACTGCATTTGGTCGGGTTTGACGGCGATGTTGTAGCCGGGGGGAGCAGAGGGTGTGTTCCAGGTGAAGGGGTAGTTGTAGGTCCCAGAGTCCTCCAGCTCTTTCCTCTTGCTGTTCAAGGTGTCCCGGATGGTGCCAAACCCCAAGTGCAGCATCTCCCACACGTTCAACAGCAAACACATGCAGCTCACCCCGTACATTATGAGCAGGAAGATGGTCTTTTCGGTCGGCCTTGAAATGAAGCAATCTATCTTATGGGGGCAGGGCTTCCTGCTGCACACGAACACGGGGCTGACCTCGAAGCCATACAGGAGGTACTGACCAACCAGAAAGCCGACCTCGAACGTCGCCCTCACCAGCAGCTGCAGCACGTAGATCCTCATCAGCCCGTCCTCGCGGATCCGCCGCCGCCCGTCGTGCTTGGCTTTGGCGGGGGGCTGCTGCTCCTTGTTCTCCCGTTCGCTTTCCAGCTCTATTTCTGGGTACATCATCGGGTCCTCCTCGTGGTCGTCCTCGGCCTCCTCCAAGCCTCGGTGCTGTTTCCAGCGCATCGAAAAGCTTTTGCTTCTGAACCTTCTGTCGACGTCACTGTGCTCCACCATGCGGGCGATCTTGTGGATGGCGTAGCCCAAATACATGACGGACGGAGTGGCGACGAGGATGATCTGGAACACCCAAAACCTCACGTGAGAAAGAGGAGCAAAAGCGTCATAACAGACGTTCTCGCAGCCGGGCTGCTCCGTGTTGCACACAAACTTGCTTTGCTCATCATAATAAATGGATTCGCCTCCCACGGCGGTCAGGACGATCCGAAACACGATCAGCACTGACAGCCAGATTTTGCCAACGAAGGTGGAGTGGTTGTGGATCTCCTCTAAGAGACGGGTCAGAAAGCTCCAACTCATGGTGGTCAAATTATTTTACCTAGAAAACAGACAAAACCCCCAAAAGAGTTGAGTTGATGAGCTCAAGGCCGCACGCTGCAAACATGCAATCGGGAGAGAAAGGCTCAAATCTGACCACCAACGCAGAACTCTTCTGTGGCATCACCTGCTATCGGGAAGCTCCAGCTGCCAGGACTTGTCTGAAGACTTACATCTCCTTTGCAGGCTTTTGGGAAGTCCTCTGTCAAGAAGTAAAGTAGCAGCTCTCTGCCACTGCACAAACAAATCTTGCTTCCAAAGTGGCTTCCATGCAGAAGAGAAAGGCATGGCTGCTCTGCATTTCTAATGTTTACACTTTGGATTGAAATCTCCTTAACGCAGTGGATCAGAAGCTCAGCTCCTGTGACATTTTATGGGCACCGCTGGCTGCGTCCCACTGCTGACACCAGGGCTTGTTTTCACTGCTGAAATCTGAGCTAACAATGTTGGCCTCCACCACCCACGGCCAACAGAGAAGCACTGCTAGTTTAATTACACTGCATACCTCAGTGCCCTGAAAAAGGGAAGAAAGGACCCTACAGAGCAATGCCGGCTGTCTTAAGGTAGCAATGAACCACTCAGCCAAAACCTGAGAGCAGGCAACTGCTGTTGACTTTGCTTCAGGACAGGACAATCCAATACAGACCATGAGCTGAGCAGTGCTGCCCTGCAAATCACAACTTCCAGCTATTCAAGTTGTTCCATGCAACGACAGTGGTGTTCACAGGCAGCACGCTGAGGTCTGGGGTGATGCAATTAATGCATTGATACAGCATAACAAAAGCAGTGCATCAGTGTATCACCAGCACAACATCCACGCAGCCAATGCACCATCAGTGCATCATCAGTGCAACCATCGATGCCATCAGTGTATCATCAACAAACAAAATGATGCAAATTTGCCTTTTGTGTGAAATCAAATGTTATACTGAAAAGTCATCAGCACAGCACAACATGGCTGGACTGGGTGGGTCATTTGATTCATTACTTGATGGCATGATGAGAAAAAAATTAGCATGATATAACATCAAAAAAGCACACGTAACAGCCACTAGAGACCTTGGAAAACAATTCCCACATTAGAACAAAGATCAACTGCTCCCAGTTACAGTGAGCTCCACCAAGACCAGAAACAGCTCTGCACCCAGCAATCCAGGCCTGACAAATGCCACATGTGGTACAGAAGCCTGCAGACTGACAAATGGAAACAGAGTGTAATTGATGCAGATAAATACACGGCTTTGGAGGCTGAGCCCATTGAAACAAAATGCTTTGGCCAAGCTCAATGCAAGGACGTACTTCAGGAAAAGCACGAGTCATTGGGTAAGAGCAGTCACTGGGTTGCAGTGAATAGGAGTCAGAATCCTCTGCAATACAGCAAAAGCAATTGATGCATAAGGGATCTCACCTCCTCGTTAGCAAGACGGCACGCCGTGCCGGTGTGTGCATCCTTCAGAAGTGGCAGGACGTCAGAGAGCGAACGCGTCAGCCTCGAGTCCATCTGAAGAAAGGGGAAGATGCCTGAAAGAGATCAGAGCTCCATTTGTTTCTGTGGGGAACGTGGGGAGAAACGGAGCAGGAAAACAGGCAGGGCTGTGAACCACTCCCTGAACTCTCTTCAGGACGGAGATCGTTTCCTGTTCTGACTGCCAGCGATTACACAAATGAGAGATCACAGCTCACCTACAGACACTGACAGCGCAGACTTGACACTCAGATTAACCACAGCCTTCACAGCGCAAGGCTTATCAGCTGTGCGTTAACGGCGTGCGTTGATTAGGAGGCTCTCAATGCTCAGATTTGAAGCTGCTGAGCAGCTCTGCTTCTCCCTGGCAAGAAAACGTCACTTATTCTATATTTAGCCCCAGTTCAGAGGAAAGCTGCGGATACAAATATGGGAAAACACACCAGCAGCACCTTCTGTCTGTAAGGAAACCTTTGGGTTCAATGGAACGACCTCTCATTAACCCGCTGTCCCGCTGGAAACGTCCATCTCAATCTAATTAGAAGGAAAGAAGGAAGTCATATGCAGAATTCTGAATTTCACATGGTTGTATCCTTCAGTTTCTGAGCTAGAGAGCAGCTCTGCCTTCGCAGATGTGCTGCAGGACCAGACACACGGCAGCAGCCTTCACCCCACGTCCACCGAGTGCCTCCCAGATCTGCCGGCCCGGCAATATTTAACTCAATAATCTTCCACCGTTTGAAGGAGAAGCCGATGGACGCTGACACACATCTGAAAAAGGCAGAACGTCAGCAATTTCAGCTCGTTTAAGATATGGCAGAAATGCATCCGAGGGAGAGCTGCACTCTGTGTCTGTGTCATGAGCTCATCCCTACGCTCGGCGCAGAAGCACTCGGTACAGGGAATGGATTTACAGCATTTTTCCCCTTAAAATATACCCTCCTGTGCCGCCCTAATTAAATCTGATTAATTTATTAATGATATATTAGTTTTGCTTTGTTTTTAAGCAGTGTAAAAAGATGCGTGCTGATCAGAAAAAAAAGTCCAGAATAAATGCATGGCAATTCCAGTGATAATCCAAAGTGGTTTCATGCTGCGTGAAAGTAAAATTAGGCCCCCAGGCTAATTAAGATAGGATTTGAATTAGGATGAATGCATAACTAGCATAATTCATTCAAATCTCATTTACATTCACTCGATTTTTACTACTCGAGAAGGAAGAACGCGATGGCCAAACCCATCACCAGCACAGCACCTCGGACGATGGAACCACAGATCTGGGCAGAATAGAACAGCAGGCTAAAGAGAGGTGGAGAAATAATCAGATTCTTGTGCTGTCAGAAAAATAAAGATGTCAAACACACATCTTTTGGAAAGCCAACACGCGTGTACCCACCAAGCATTCAGCTCAGAGATGAGCTGGAGCTCGCAGATAAGAGCCGAACCCCCGATAGCCTCCGAGTGCCCCCCAGTAATGCCAGCATGGAAAGCCAAGTGACAGTTTTAGCATCGCTCCCCCGCAGTGACACAACTCAAATGGAATTGGGAGATGTGTTGTGCTGGCCAAACTGGCATTCACTTCACCTACAGCAACGGGGAGCTCCAGGAAGAGCTATTTCCAGGGCGGTGGAGGTGAGCTGTCGGCTCTGTGCCGTCTCGTGGGGTTCTGGGATCCTACAGACCCGAGATAACAAGGAAGTTCAGCAGCAAGCCCCAGGTGATGCTGGCATTCCGATGATGTGAAATGTAATAATGGAGAAAACAAGCTGGTCAGCAGATTTCACGAGAAGGCAGGGTGTTATCTGACAGCCTGTGAGATGGAACAGCTGGTCCTGGGGGCAACGAGCCACAGCATAACCCAAAGCTGGGACTGCAGCTTGCCATGTGAGCTGCCCATCCACCTCTCCATGACTTGGAAATAAAGAGTAATGCAGCAGGGGATGAAAAGGGCAACAACTTTGTGCAATCAGATCGAATCTGAACCTCAAGTCCATCAAGAACAAACAGCCAAACATGAAGGTCTGCGACCAACACCCAGCTCTCGGACTGCCAGCAAACAGCACTGCCTTCTGACATCCACAGATCAGCAGCAGATCCTCAAAATGACCACTGCTGCCAACCCCAATGACAAACCCATTGAGTGAGCACAGTTTCAGTACAGATTCAGGGCCACAGAATATTTCTGATCAAGCTCTTAGTTCCCCTTATTCCTCTCAACATGGATTCCATTGGGTTTCTGCAAGACGATTACAGTTGGACAGGATGATCCTAGAGGTCTTGTCCAACCTTAATGATTCTGTGACCAGAAACACTCAGCTCCGCACTTCCAAATACCCAGGAGTGCTCTCCAGCAGCTGCTCCCACCTGGACACCTCGTGATGGAGCAACACAGGACACAAAGCCACTCTCCACAACGCTCCCGAGATGAGCATGCCCACAAGCCCAGCATCGAGCAGACACCAACACAGAACCACCCATTCAACTAATTTACTTACAAAGATGCTCAGCCCCCAATTTTTCTTGTACCAATGCACGTTACCCCCCAAAATGTACGATGTTTTGCCATCAGGCAGTTGACACTACAGATTCAACCTCCTGATTTCATATTACAACTCTGACAGAGTTCCAGGGCAGGCTCCCAAGCTCTGGCTACATACACAGATATACCCCACTGCTCCATTTTTGGGACAGAGAGGAGCCACCAAGTGCAGCCATCAAACCCACAGGTCTGGCAGTGGCCAGGCAGGCAGATCCAGCCCACTGCTACCAACCAGTGCAGCTCGGCAGGACTCTGCCCAGTTGGGTTTCCTCCAAGGAAGGAGAATCCACAAGCTCTCTAGACAACCTGTTCCAACATCTTCAAGCAGGATTGCTGTGTTTCAGTGCCCGCTGGGTGCCAACCCATCGCTCGGTGCCACACAGGGGAGGCTGGGACTCAAGCAGCAAAACTACTTTTCCTGTAAGAATGAACACAACGATGGGGGGATGTGTTACAGGGTCTGGAAATATACAGAAGAGCAGCACGGTGCCCCTTCCACCCCGTGCTGGATGGCAGCCCAGTAGGCACGCTCAGGACGTGCATTGCAGCACGGTGTCCCACTGACGTCCCCATACCTGAAAGCAGCCCTGAGGACGGATGGGGGCTCCCACGCCGAGAGCCGGGACACAGTGCTGAGATCAGAAAGAAAGCACATCTGAGCAGCCATCAGGGAGATTCCCCCCGAAGTGATGCAGATCAGCACAGCACCCCTTTAACGACTCCTGATCCCACTGCGGCGCTTCCCACCGCGCTCCTCCAGCACGCTCACAGCCATGAGTGTCAAAAGAAAGTGACACGCTGGAGGCAGCTGACCCAGATATCACTCTCACGGCCATTTCAGGAGAAAAGAGAGAAGCCCAAAGAGAGCAGTGCTGTCTGCTCCTGTAAGTCGGATGGCTCTCGCAGAGCCGAGCAGGAGATGATGGGTGGGTAACACCTCATTCACCAGCACTGGATTATGGCAGAAGGGAAAAAGCAAGCTGACTTCTACTGATAGAACACGCAGCAATGCTAAACTTCCCCCAGTTTCTTATCTCCAGGCTTTCAGTACTTGAGGAGTATGGGCACAGAATCACACAGAGTCACAGAATGGCCCGGGTTGGAAGGGACCTCAAGGATCACGGAGCTCCAACCCCCTGCCACATTTCATGGCAGCCCAGGCTGCCCAGGGCCCCATCCAACCCGGCCTTGAACACCTCCAGGGATGGACGGGGCATCACAGCCTCTCTGGGCAGCTGTTCCAGCCCCTCACCGCTCTCATAGCAAAGAACTTCCCCTGACATCCAACCTCCATCTGCCCTCCCTCAACTTAAAGCCATTTCCCCTTGTCCTGCTGTTATCTACCCTTTCCAAGAGTTGACTCCCCTCCAGTTTTTAGGCTCCCTTTAGGTACTCAAAGGCTGCATGTCTTCACACAGCCTCATTAAGTTACTGAACTTCTTGCTCACGTTGCACCCCTCTCCCAGCTGGAGCTCACAGGTGGCCCAACCGTGTCCTCGTGGAGAGGCAAGCAAAATTCTGCTTTCTAAAATACTCTGAGCACAAAGGATGCTAAGCAGCGCATGCTGGACCACAGCTCATTCACTCAGGAAAACATGGGCTGACCACAGAACAAGGCAACCCCAAGGATTCTCTTAGCAAGGCATCCCTGTACCCACCCCACCACTACTCTGCTGCTTCAGAGGCTCCTCAAGAAATACCCAGAAAGCCCCACCAACAGGCTGACTGCTCGGTGCTGCTAGAAGACAGTGGCACATGGAAAAACAAAGCCATTTCCCCATCTCTGTACCCACAGGGCAAGAAAAAGGCACAGCCCCACTCCTCGAGGGACTCCTCAAGACAACAGTCCCAAAGCAAACCTACAAATTCTACATCTCCAAACCCAACACTCATACAGGACAAATGAAATTGCGTGAAAATATAGGGTAGAATCATCAGGCAGCACTTTTTGCAGGAGAAAGTCAGACAGGATTCTGCACGGGGACTTCCAGCGCACAGCAGCAGCACAGACTGCTGCCTTTTACAAGACTTGCTGCTGTCTCTCAAAGGCTCCCTGCCAGGAAACCACAAGGCCATATTGGCACAGGGACTGTCCTGAAGGGAGGAACAACTGGGTGAGTGATAACCAAGAGAGTGGGAGTAAAGAGTCATTTCCTGCAGAGCAGAGAGGTCACAGCACAGCCTATGTCAAGGATTCCAACTGCGGAGTACAACGGGAACGGAGACTTCCAGTGAGCCAGGGACCAGAGATGAGCACATGGAAGATGAGTGGGTGCTGTTTCTGAACTCTTCAAAGCCCCTTTAAATATCCCAGGAATCAGTTTCCAGTAGGAGGATAGCTCTCCTTCTGAAAACAGCTCAACTATTTGGAAGTCAGCTGCAGAATGTCTGCGTTCACTAAAACTGAGCCAGCTGTTAACCACCTAAGAAAGGTTTAGTGTGAAAACCACATTACTCTTCTCAGGAGCAGCACACCAGCAAGGCACACATCTCTCAGATGTAAGAATCTGATTGTTTTATTTTTAACCCCATTTGAAAGCACCCTCACACACAGAGCCAGCCCAATGCACACCAACCACCACCTGAATGCTAAGCCCAAGTCCCCAGACTGACAGCTGAGCACTCAGCCAGGCTTCAGCAGGTCACCAGGAGTCAGGAAACACCCTCAAGAAAGGGGGGAAAAACCTCTATGAGCACAAGGAATCACCATTCTGGGCAATTTGTTGAAGCTCCGTGACCTCTGTTGGAGCTCCATGGTCATTACTGGAGCTCAAAGACCTCTGCTGGGGCTCAACCACCTTTGCAGGAGCTCAAAGACCTGCACTGAAGCTCAACAATTTCTGTTGGAGCTCAAAGACATTTGCTGGAGCTCAGTCACCTTCATTGGAGCTCAACCACCTTCATCAGAGCTCAACCACCTTCACTGGAGCTCAAACACCTTCATTGGAGCTCAACCACCTTCACTGGACCTCAACCACCTTC